GTTTATTCTATAAAAATAAATCAAGAGCATGAGCCAGATATTAGGGATTAACCCTGGTCAATCGAGATAGCAGGAGCAGATGTTATCAGGGCCAAAAAAATGACCGTAGATTTCTGTGACACATACAGTGGTAGCTCAGGTTACAGACACTTCAGGTTACAGACTCCGCTAACCCAGAAATATTACCTCGGGTTAAGAACTTTGATTCAGGATGAGAACAGAAATTGCGCAGCGGCAGCGCGGGAGGCCCCATTCGCTAAAGTGGTACCTCACGTTAAGAACAGTTTCAGGTTAAGAACAGACCTCCAGAACAAATTAAGTTCTTAACCCGAGGTACCACTGTATATTAAGGAATAAAAGGCACCCACATTCTGAGTAAAATCATGCCCTCTGATTATTTTCTATCGCCCAGTAGAATGGACTAGAGAAAGAGAGTTTTATCCCACTCTGGGACAAACTAGTTAATAATCATAGAATCATAGAATCATAGAGTTGGAAGAGACCACAAGGGCCATCGAGTCCAACCCCCTGCCAAGCAGGAAACACCATCAGAGCACTCCTGACATATGGTTGTCAAGCCTCTGCTTAAAGACCTCCAAAGAAGGAGACTCCACCACACTCCTTGGCAGCAAATTCCACTGTCAAACAGCTCTTACTGTCAGGAAGTTCTTCCTAATGTTTAGGTGGAATCTTCTTTCTTATAGTTTGGATCCATTGCTCCGTGTCCGCTTCTCTGGAGCAGCAGAAAACAACCTTTCTCCCTCCTCTATGTGACATCCTTTTATATATTTGAACATGGCTATCATATCACCCCTTAACCTCCTCTTCTCCAGGCTAAACATGCCCAGCTCTCTTAGCCATTCCTCATAAGGCATCGTTTCCAGGCCTTTGACCATTTTGGTTGCCCTCCTCTGGACACGTTCCAGTTTGTCAATGTCCTTCTTGAACTGTGGTGCCCAGAACTGGACACAGTACTCCAGGTGAGGTCTGACCAGAGCAGAATACAGTGGCACTATTACTTCCCTTGATCTAGATGCTATACTCCTATTGATGCAGCCCAGAATTGCATTGGCTTTTTAGCTGCCGCGTCACACTGTTGGCTCATGTCAAGTTTGTGGTCAACCAAGACTCCTAGATCCTTTTCACATGTACTGCTCTCAAGCCAGGTGTCCCCATCTTGTATTTGTGCCTCTCATTTTTTTGGCCAAGTGCAATACTTTACATTTCTCCCTGTTAAAATTCATCTTGTTTGTTTTGGCCCAGTTCTCTAATCTGTCAAGGTCGTTTTGAAGTGTGATCCTGTCCTCTGGGGTGTTAGCCACCCCTCCCAATTTGGTATCATCTGCAAATTTGATCAGGATGCCCTTGAGTCCATCATCCAAGTCGTTGATAAAGATGTTGAATAAGACCGGGCCCAAGACAGAACCCTGTGGCACCCCACTAGTCACTCTTCTCCAGGATGAAGAGGAACCATTGATGAGCACCCTTTGGGTCCGGTCAGTCAGCCAGTTACAAATCCACTGAGTGGTAGCATAGTCAAGACCGCATTTTACCAGCTTCTTTACAAGAATATCATGAGGCACCTTGTCAAATGCCTTGCTGAAATCAAGGTAGGCTACATCCACTGCGTTCCCTTCATCTACCAGGCTTGTAATTCTGTCAAAAACGAGATCAGGTTAGTCTGACATGACTTATTTTTCAGAAATCCATGCTGACTATTGGTGATCACAGCATTCCTTTCTAGGTGCTCACAGACTGTTTGCTTAATGATCTGCTCCAGAATCTTCCCTGGTATTGATGTCAGACTGACTGGGCGGTAATTATTTGGGTCCTCTCTTTTCCCCTTTTTGAAAATAGGGACAACACTGAGGTAAAGGTATATAGGAGGGATTAGTGGAGAATACCCACCTGTTCCCTTCACAGCACACCTCCACATAGCCTGATGTCCTGGCCTAAAATGCCTTTCAGAAGCAGGCACTCCAATATCATCAGGAAAGAGTGGCCTTGCATTCACTACATTTTGTCCAATCCTAGAGGCACACTCTAATATGTAATATGAATACATAGGGAGGGACAAAATTCAACACAACGTGTGTGTGTGTGTGTGTGTGTGTGTGTGTGTGTGAAATGCCCAGAATTTTTGATTTCTTATTAAATGAACTAACCCTCATCTTAAAGTATCAGCAAGCAGTGGAGATTTCAAATGGGATATTCCAGAGACAACAATATCTTTAGGGAGGTTAAAAGTGGAGGAGCATTATTGCCACTTCTCACTATTTGGTTGTTAATATCTACATTTACTGCTGAAGTGCCTATTATCCCTTACAAAACATATCTGAACAGATTCTGCACTGAATGATAGCTAAACACCACTAGGGTGTTTTAAAGAGCAGTGTCAGACAAAATAACAGATATAACAAAATAATAATTTCTTCCCTCTGGTGCAGAAATCAATTAATTTATTCCACACTACCAAAGGAGATGTTGTGCCAAACTTGGAGAAGTTACATAATGTTCTGTATTCTGATACTGGCTTAGGTAAAAGTAAAGGGACCCCTGACCATTAGGTCCGGTCGTGACCGACTCTGGGGTTGTGGCACTCATCCCGCTTTATTGGCCAAGGGAACAGGCGTACAGCTTCCGGATCATGTGGCCAGCATGACTAAGCCGCTTCTGGCGAACCAGAGCAGCGCACGGAAACGCCATTTACCGGTACCTTCCCGCCAGAGCGGTACCTATTTATCTACTTGCACTTTGACGTGCTTTGGAACTGCTAGGTTGGCAGGAGCAGGGACCGAGCAATGGGAGCTCACCCCATCACGGGGATTTGAACCGCCAACCTTCTGATCGGCAAGTCCTAGGCTCTGTGGTTTAACCCACAGCGCCACCCGCGTCCCGATACTGGCTTAGAATCACCCAAAAAGGAGAATGAAGGTTTACTGCATCTTTTGCGGAGGCTGCCATTTGCTGCCTGGGGACAGAGCGGTCACCACACATGACCGGAGGAAGATGCGGGGCCTCCCCTTCTGGATGTGTGTTTTTGGTGTGAAGACGACTGCTAACCTGGGACCTACTGAGGACCTACTCCTGAGTGACATGTACAGGATTATGCTGCTGCAGCTTTGAAGCTATTTGCACAGCCATGCAGTAAGAAACACAGTTCGTCAGCTTAAGACTATTTGCCATACAATTTCAGATTTCCATACTATTATGATACATGGTTCTGGAAGTGTGACTGTCAGTAACTGTCTGTACAACTGTCTGGAAGTGTGACTGTGTGACTGTCAGTACAAATGGAGGCAGTGCAGGAAAAAACAACAACCAAGGCCTTAAGGAAATGAACTGTGATGGGAATGTACAGGGAATGTAGAGGAGGAATACAAGGTTGAGGGCCAGAATTGGAGAATTGGAGTGGGCAAGAGAACTGACTGGAAGGCAGGAGACGTTGCAGAGACCAAGGCTGCCCCTCTGGAAGGGGCCTTTTGTCAGCCTTATTTCAACAAACGATACAGAAGCATTTAGAAATTCCGTGATTTGTAACAATTAGTTATAGTTTTATTATCTCAAAACCAAAAGTAGCTACTCATATTTAAATATTAAGATATACAATTTAAAACCAGAGGCAGACATGAAAACTATGGAAATGTCAAAAAGGACTGCATCTGTGTAAGAAATGGATGCATCAAGAATGTTAACAGGAAGAATGGCTTCAATACTAGAACAGCAATTATAGTGAAAATATGCAATGAAACTATGCAACCATATATATATATATATATATATATATATATATATATATGCAGTATAAATTGTAACTCTGGCATTGTGAGCTAGATAACATAACATAATAATATTTTCTTCTTAAAAACCAGAGGGATAATCATGGATTATTAAGAGAGCAAAAATATGTCTCTAACACCAGGATCTTATAATTCTGTCCTGTAAGGGAGCTGAGTACCATCTTTCTAATGATTTAGTTATGATCTACCCAGAAGAGAGATAATGTGGATTTCCTGAAACATTAACCACATGCAAAGGCTCTTCTGACTAGCCCAGCGGAATATTAGCCGCCCTGCTCTGCTGTCCCCACCCCCCCATTGACCTCTTGCCAATACAATTACAACAGGGGGAGTGCATTGTGTACCTCATGCACTTTCTCCAAGAAGTGTATTTAAAATGGATTACTTCTGCTTCTCAGGCAGCAGATCAATAGAGATGTGGATTGCAGTTAAGTGTTGAGATGTCTGTGGGCTGCACTAGTTATCCTTTGTGTCTCTTTAGAAATTAATTAAAAATCAATGGAGTGTGCAGCCCATTAATAAGGCAACTTCCACATTAACAGATACAAGTGCAGCCTTCCCTGGTTTGCAGAGAAAGCAAGCAAGGGCAATCAAGCCTCACTGGCACTTGAGACAATGAGAGGGATTCTGGCCACTTATTCCCCACACAATGGAGCTGCTGCCAGCGGGGTATGCATTTGTGCAGGCCTGCTTTTAGCTCCCTTTATCCTCGTACTCTCTCTGTTGGTAATAAACAAGCAGGATGCTGTTTAAAGCAGCACTGGATATTCTCCGGTTTGGATTTTCGGTGAAGTGAGAATTTCTCCACTGCTGCTTCTGCAATTTCCTTCTGGCTGAGTTTAAAACTGTGCTTGACAAACCAAGCCGTCTCTCCCTCCCCTTTCCTTCCAATGCAAAATTAGCTCAATTTATTAGCTGCTCAGTTCAGATGCTGCTGCATTCCGGACGGCCTCAGTGGAACACCTCCCTGCACCCGTGACTCTCCCAGCCCATCTGAAGACCTCCAGTCCTCCCCTCTGTGCTCTCAGCCCTGCTGTCAAGCCCCTTGCTGCCCTCCCACTCACTTCCAACATAGCTGGCTTGGGGGCAGAACCTCTTGCTCCCTGACACCCGCTTTGCCACCAGAGACCTGGCCAGTGCCCCCCCCACCTATGTTCTTTGAATAGACATCAGGAATCCCATAAATTAAAACTCATATCATGGATAGCTCAGCTGGTTAGAGCATGGTGCTAAAAAGACCAAGGTTGCAGGTTCAAACCCCGTATAGGACAGCTGCCTATTCCTGCATTGCAGGGGGCTGGACTAGGGTCCCTTCCAACTTGACCAGTCTATGATCCCAATTCTGAAACACCATTATTTAAGTCAACCACAAGTAACTGAAGGAGACAGAATAAAAAGGCCTTGCTTCTGAGGAAATGCACTGGGCACATCATGTACTGTAACACATTTCCCAGCTTTGAGCATCACTTAGATCTTGAGGTTTTGCCTCCCCAATGTGCTTTTTATTGAGGGGGGAGTTACATTTGCATACACAGCTGTGTACATAAACAGTGGTTGCTTGCATGTGCAATCAGGTTGTGGGATTCTAACACAGGGCACATTCCTAGGCCCCATTTCCACTCAAACCTTGCCTGTTCCTACCACTGAAATTTGAGGTGGCTACGATGCAATGGTGACCCTGTGTTTTTAGAATATTTGATGAGCAATTTGATTACACCTCAGTCTGTTTGCTAAACTGACTCTTCCCCTGCTTCCAACATTTTATTCATTTAAATACATACCACTCTATCTGAATTTCAAGTCATTAAATCTAGACAACATTTGAGAATCATTGATCTCTTCCAGGGCCTGCACTAGTCTATGTGAACCATTTTGTTGTGTGCCTACACCAGGGGTCGGCAACATTTTAAAGCTGTGGGCCCGTCCACTGTCCCTCAGACCTTGTGGCAGGCCAGAGAAGTGGCACCGGGGGGGGGGAGCTGGAAGAAGAGGCAAGAGGGGCAAGTAGTCCTCCTTCCCACCCCCACCCCCAGCTGCTGCGCTTACCTTCCCAGGGGCTGCCACCACCACCACTGCTTGCTGCTTCTCATGGGCAGGCAAAGGGAGCTCGTCCGCTCCGCTTTCTGGCCCACAGGAACACCAGGGCGGCAGTGGCAGCGGAGGGAAGATGAGCGGCGCAAAAGGGCCGCCAACCCCTGGCCCACACCTAGGTTGCAGCAGCTAATGGGGAGATAAAAGAAGGAAGAACTTGAAATGGATGGCAAGGACACTCCAGTCGCTCAAAGAGATATTCCATAGACTGGTCCATTCACCCCAATTTAATTATCATATACTGACGGGAATCCTTTTAATCAAACGCAATACGTGTTTGAGCCTTCCATTATGTGTGCTGAATCTTCTTAGGTACTAGATTTATTTTTATCACTTTCTCATTATTACTTTGAAACTTTGTATTAGCCGTTAGTTTCCATTTGTCCTTAATATTTGAATTCAGGTCCTATAGCAAATGTTGTTTGAGCAGTTGCCACAAAGGACAATTTATGTCCCATCGCAGGCAGCTGCAGTAGTTCAAGGAGGATAAATCACCAGGTGGTAGAACAGTATAAGTAACCTACCCATCTAACTTTGTCTATGGTGGTTTGTGAATACAAGGTGTTGTTGTTGATTAGTCATTTAGTCGTGTCCGACTCTTCGTGACCCCATGGACCAGAGCACGCCAGGCACTCCTGTCTTCCACTGCCTCCTGCAGTTTGGTCAAACTCATACTGTCCAACCATCTCGTCCTCTGTCTTTTTTTTTCCCAAATAATTTTTATTAACAGGCCAATCAAATCACATTAATTCCAAATCACATTACTTCCAAATTACAAAGCCAAATTTTTAAATTTTTGTTGGGGGCACCCATGCTTCGAGCTCAGAAAGGGATCCAAACATCTCTCTTGCTGCTGCTTTAATGTACACAGTTCTGTCAAAATAGTATTCACAGTTCTGTTCAATCTTCTCTTTGTTATTTTCCTCATCTTCTTGTTGTTATCATATATTCCTTTCTTTGTGATCTCTGGTAGTCTCCACAAGCGGGTTGAAAACAAATGTTGTTATATCCTGTGTGGATTTTACACTCCTCCAAGAGCCATATCAAAATAGACAGACGCCATTTCCGCACCTCCGTACAAAACATTCCCAAAGTCTGTCCGTTAATTTCCACAGGCCTGCCAGTCTCTCCTCAATTTTCTCAGGGGGCCCCGCCAGGTCAAATTCACAGTCCGGTATAATAACAAGCCATGGTCCTCCTCCCCCTCAATCATCCTGTGGCAGGCCTGCCGTAACAAATCTCTTTTTATTACTGCGTCACAAAGAGCTTTCATTCCTTTCCCGATGTTCCCACAGGCCATGTCTTTGATTAGTAATTTATTTCCACACAGTTCTTAATCATCCTGCTTGTAATCAGTAATTGCAACGATTCTTTCTTGGGGGGAGGGTTGTTAGGTACTCACATAAGATAAAAAAAAAAGTCCCCCCCTTTTCAGTCCCGCTCCGACATACCGATCCTTTGATGAATCTTCTTCTTGACTTATTATTGAGTCCAGCCCGTCGCTCCACTTCAGAGATCACTTTAATTAGCAGTCTTATCTCCCGATCTTCACTCGAAATATGTGCATTTGCTTCTCTCTAATTGTTTACTTTGAGCTCCTGCAACCAGGACGCGCGATCAGAGACAGCTTCAGGGAGAGCCTTCTCCCACGAGGGCTGTGTGCCTAGTGCCCTCACCCCCTTCTTTCGAATCTGGGAGTGATTTATGGCAACCGCAGGCAAGGCAGTGTTCCCCATTCCCTTGGGGTAACAAGGGAGGCTGCATACTCCCATATCAGCCTCTTAATTACCTCATGTGAGCTGGAGAGATGGTATTGTCGGCCATCTTCCAATGCGCCCCTAGCGGCCCCCCATCTCGTCCTCTGTCGTCCCCTTCTCCTTGTGCCCTCAATCTTTCCCAACATCAGGGTCTTCTCCAGGGAGTCTTCTCTTCTCGTGAGGTGGCCAAAGTATTAGAGCCTCAGCTTCAGGATCTATCCTTCCAGTGAGCACTCAGGGCTGATTTCCTTAAGAAAGGATAGGTTTGATCTTCTTGCAGTCCATGGGACTCTCAAGAGTCTCCTCCAGCACCAGAATTCAAAAGTATCAATTCTTCAGCGATCAGCCTTCTTTATGGTCCAGTCACTTCCAAACATCACTACTGGGAAAACCAAAGCTTTAACTATACGGACCTTTGTTGGCAAGGTGATGTCTCTGCTTTTTAAGATGCTGTCTAGGTTTGTCATTGCTTTTCTCCCAAGAAGCAGGCGTCTTTTATTTTCGTGGCTGCTGTCACCATCTGCAGTGATCATGGAGCCCAAGAAAGTAAAATCTCTCACTGCCTCCATTTCGTCCCCTTCTATTTGCCAGGAGGTAGGAACTCTGAAAATGCTACTCACCTATTTATCATTCATGACTGAGGAAGCTGAGGTCACTTTGCATCCAAAAGTATGTACGGTCCACCAGAGACATAGAATCATAGAGTTGGAAGGGACCCTGAGGTCCAACCCCCTGCAATGCAGGAATAGGCAGTGGTCCCATATGGGGATTGGACCTGCAACCTTGGTGTTATCAGCACCATGTTCTAACCAACTGAGCTGTCCAGGCTGACTCCTAGTTGCAAGCATACAACTGCAGGATCAGGGAGCTTCGGCTGAGGTGTGGGATTCTTGGATCTTTGTAGAAGTTGGGCACATCTGAAAATCTGCCCACTCCGGACATCAGAAAGATATTAGTTTTAGGTACTTGAATGACTTTGATACAAATGAAGGGTCCTCAAAGGCTACCTAGCTCAGCCACCTGAAAGGAGACTTGCTCCTGAATCCCACTACCAAACAAAATCCTTCTGCATTTCAAGGTTCAGAATTACCTGTTTTGCAGAGTGGCACTGATACACCCAGAATCCCCAGTTCTTTTCACTTCCATTTTCAGACTTTTTAGCACAAGTGTGTATGCAAGTAAAGTCACGTGACACATAATGGCGGGAAACCTACTTCCCCACCCTCACCCTGATTCTGAATGAGAACAAAGATTTTCAAGTTTTCTGGCAATTCTATTGGATTCTGTATTTCAGAACTAGATTCTGTACTGCTAAGTCTAGATATAGTTTTTGCAGCAGTAACTGTCTGAAATAGTTCACTGGAGTAAAAGATGATGGATTATTATTATTTTTTAAAACCCACCATGCGCACACATAAATTTATGCCATTTCCTTAGGTGTCAAACTACCCCAGGTAGTATGAGCTACGATTATCAAACCACTTAATTTAATAATCCTATTCATTTTGATAAAGTCAATCTAGAGTTACTTTGAGGACTATAGTTAATTTTTTCTCCAGGCAAGGCAAAACAGCCAAGGGATAAAAGGATTTTCTTTGTTCTGTTCCATTTTTTGTTCCATTCCTCCTCAATTAATTTGGGTTTAAACAAATCTAAAATGTGCAGTTTAATGCAGCTTTTAGTTCCTTCAGTTCACACTGGCCTCTCTCTTTGTCCAGCCCCCACCCCCTTGCAAAAAAAAGGAGCCCTCTGCATCCAGCCCTCTGTTTCCAAAGTGACTGTTTTCCCTTACGAATAATGCTTGTGATACACTACTTCCATCATGAGAAAACACAAATTCTATGACTGGTATAAATTATTTCTATTAATTAACATTCTCCCCCCCCCCTTTATCCCTCACCCCTCACCCCACCCTTGTGTTAGACTTCCACTCTACTCAATTGCAATTTCTTTCCACTTCTATTACTTTCTTTCACACACTTTTAAACCAATTTTCTACTTCTTTTTCTCTTACACATTGTTATCCATAATATTTAGTATTTCAGTATTTATAACAGAACTTGTTTATTCTAATAGGAGTTCTGATTTTTCAATATAATTTTGCAAGTATCCTTTAAACACTTTCCTTTTTTAAAAAATATTTTTTATTAAATTTTCCATTTTAACAATCCAATCAAATCACATTAAATATTCCAAATTCTGCAAATACATATCATATAGTCCAAATATTCTGCCAAATTATAAATTTTTGGGGGGACTTCCCATGCTTCAAGTTTGGTGGGGCTCTGATCATCTTGTATCTCTACTGCCTTGAGTTTCAAATAGTTCCTTTAAATCTTCCTGTTGTTACCCTTCCTTCTTTCATGGCCTCTGAGTTGTTTCCACAGGCGAGTTGAAGTAAACAATGATATGCTTCTGTGTGAA